CAGCCATTCCTCAGGATGCACAGCTCTTGGTGCTCTCGCTCCTGTGATGCAGTGATGAGCAGGTGCTTTTCCTCATCGCCTCTTTCAGTCTGGACGGTCTCGACAGCCAGCACCAGGTAACGGTTATCCTCTCCTCGGCTCAGAACCGTCTTAGGAAAGGAAGCTTCCACCTTCTTCTCAAGTCTAAGAGTAAACATAAAAACCAAACTATCCTATAGAGCTAGTTCCAGGACAGGCTCCAAAGCCACAGAGAAACCCTGCCTCGAAAAACAAAAACAAACAAACAAAAAAAACAAAAAACAAACTATCAGAGACAATTGACTGGACTATCTCCTATCAGAGCCGATAGACAGGACTATCTGGAGGTCAATTTTCTAGTTTTCTAGATTTTTTTTTTCCCCTGAAAACCTTAAACTGAACAAAGACACGTGGAGAATTCTTGCTGTAAAGACTGGGCTAAGGCTCAGTTGGCAGAGTGTTTGCCAATCATGGACAAGGCCCCAAGGTCAATGTGATCCCCAGCACTGCATAAGCTGGGTGTCTGAGTGTGGTGGCTGTAATCCCAGCACTTGGGAGACAGACAGGAGAACCAGGACTTTCTTAGATATATAGGGAGTCTGGGCTAGCCTGGACTACAAGAAGCACCATTTCAAAACAAAAAGTGACTCCTCTCTTTGTAAAACATACATAAATAATAAGAGAAGTTGCACATGATAGGTCAAACCTGCAAACCCAGGGCTTGGGGGGCTGAGTCAGGGGAACTACCACACATTCAAGTGTTATAAGAGATCAAACCAAAGACTGAGACACCCAAGGTGCTGTAAGTTAAGGCAGCAGTCTATCTCTAGAGGGTCAAGCCCAAAAAAGGGAGCTTCCAATAGCACAAGAGTGTGCTTTTATACATTTCTGGCTCTGTCCTCTCTATATGGTTACGTATATTGTTATTGGTGTTTTAAACTAGTAATGAGGCTGTGGGGTTGTCTGCAGGACAGATATGGCCAGTATTCACAAACAGGAGAGTACCCAGCAGCATGGCCAACACAGCTACCTGAACCAGATATTCATCAGCCCACATGACTGTTTCTTGTGTTTCTTTCTCTTGGGCCTCTATGGCCAATTCCTGCCTCCTACCACACAAGGCTAGCCTGGTCTACAAAATGAGACTCTGTATAAAACAACAGCAACAAAACAAATTCTTAGGAAGTGGGAAAAGGAGGATCAAAGAGGTCAAGGCCATCCTGGGCTGGGCTGCCAGACTCAGTTCAAGGCTAGCCTGGGCTACCCTAAAACCTGGAACCTGGAAAATAGCGGAGTAGGTTTCTACCACTGTTGAAAGTCTTACAAAGTACAACTGAAAGGAGAGATTTGAACCTTTCCAAACAACTGATATACTGACCAGGACATAGTTCCGCAGCATAGCACCTGTTGGCCAGCCTGTGACTCATCCCCAATGCTGCCTGAAAGACGGGGTGGGGGGAGGGGAGAGTTGCATGGGAGGTTCATGCAGTTCCTGCCAGGAGCTGCCAATCATGCTAATCTTTACAGCATTAGAGGGTTTAGGTCTACTGTGTACCGGGTGTTGGTTCCCCCAGCACCACTAAAGAAATCTAGTCCAACATACCACAGAGTCAGGAAGAGATCCTAGCCTCTCTCACCTCACCTGTAAAGAAAGCAAACTACTACCCCTTGGCTTTCCAGGAAAAGGTCTCTCTGCTCAAGCGAAGGCTGGCTTCCACTCTTGGTCTCAAGCACTCCAGGGCCCCTTGAGTAGCCGGAGTCACTAACAGCAGCTTCTGAGCCACACCATTACCTCCCACTAGAATGTCAACGGATCTCATTTTAGTAACTCAGGAGTTTCGTATATGCGTTAGAACGACCAGATCAGCTTCACAATACTGAAACCGTGCACACTCAGCTTCAATGCGACACCCCTTCTCTTCTTACAACTTACTGGTCGGGTTTCCAAAACCCTAACACGTCACTCTCCAGTTAAAACATCAGATGCTATCAGGCGCCCGGGCAAACACCTTTGATCTCAGCACTCTGGAGTCTGACGCCAGAGGATCTCTGTGCACTCAAGAACTAGCCCGGTCTACAAAGAGTTCCAGGACGGCCAGGGCAAGGCACCGCTTCAAAAAAACAAATAAATGCTTTCTTCCTTCCCCTACCGGTCGCTTCAGCTGGCTGCACAATCCATTGTGTTGTAAATGTATCACTCAACAACCCGACTTAGCTTCACACCAAGAGTTTCCTGAGGTAGCCGGTGACACCTACAATTGCTCTTAAAAGGGCTGGAAATAAATCGCCCAACGGTTAAGAACGTGTATTGTTCTTGCAGAGGACTTAGGGACTTAAGTACCCGCATCAGACAACTCACTGCGGTTTATAATTCCAGTTCCAGGAGATGCCTCTAAACCAGGCACACAAACACGTAAATTAATAACAACAGATAATAACAAATAGATAGGCCTGGGTCTGAAGCCCGGAGTTCCCTCCCGCGGTCCCACGTGAAAGGAAAGAACTCCCACAGGTGCTCCTCCGACTGCCACAAGCAAATAAAATAAAAAAAATAAATAAATAAAATGCAATGTATTAATGACACTGGTGAGCTGTCGCGTGGGAAACAGCGAGCTCAAGGCCAGCCCCGGCTACACAAGACCAGATCCGAATTAACCGGCGCAGAGCCTGCAGCTAAAGCCAGGGAAGACTGCGCCGGTCCGCCCGCGTTCAGACCTCCCGCCGCCAGCCCGCCCGCTCGCCCGCCCGCCCACTCGCTCGCTCACAGCTCAGCCCGCGCGTCCTCCGCTCCACCGTCCTCCTCCAGCAGCAGCAGGTCCAGCTCGTCCAACGGCTCCATCACTGCCGAGCCCACCGGGAGAGGTAGCTTCGGACGGCGACCCCGGCGCCTGAAATTCGCAGCGCCAGGGACGCGCCGGTGCGCTGCGCATGCGCAGGAGAGGCCCCGCGCGCTAGGGTCTCCCGCGCTCTCAGCTCCGGGAAGCACCGCGCAGGACCGGAGACGCTTTCCCGCCTTCCCGCCTGCTGGATGAGTGGGCCTGCCGGGTCCCCACGCCCACGCTCGCCTCACGCTCCGTCTTTTAGATCTGAGACAGCGACTCAAGTATTCCAGGGGAGCCTGGAACTCACAGCATTGCCCCGTGTCCCGCTTTCAATTGCAGTGATCACCGTGCCCAGTTTAAGAAGTCATTTAGAACTGTCACATCAATCCCCTGCCTCTGTCTTTCGAGTGCAGCGATCACCAGGCCCCCTCTACGTTTCAGAGAAGACGAGATGGTTCAGGTGGTAAAGAGGATTGTGACTAGGGCTGCCGACCTCAGTTTTCTGGAACCTACATGGTGGTGGGAGAACCAACCCCGGCAGGTTGTCCTCTGGAGTTCCACGTGTGATCGAGAGTGAGAACACACACGCACCCCTGCAGAGATGAGATGGCTCGGTAGTTTAAAAGTATCTGCTGCTCTTGTAGAGGGCTCTAGTTGAGCCTTCAGTACACCTGGCTGCTCCCCACTCGCTATAACCCCAGTTCCAGAGGACTCCTCCTCTGGTCTCCGAAGGCACACTCATGCATAGTGCACAGACATACTCACAGGGGCACGCACACAAAATAAATCTTTCAAAAAGGTAAGTCGAAAGTTTCCTTTAAAATAAACCATTTCATACTTAGCATTCTTCCATTCTGATTTCTGAGCATGTGTGCAAGGGTGGGGAGACCAGGGGTTCGAACCTCAGGGAAGAACCTATTGCTCGTCACTTTATGAGACAGGCCTGTGTCTAAACCTGGCTATTGTGTGGGCGCTAGGTACCTGAAAGTAGGTTACAATGCTGTTTGTCACTGAACCATCTCCGCAGCCCTCTCATTCTGATATTTTATATCTAACATTTTTCCTTCAATAATGCAAATATTTAAAGCTGGGCAGAGGTGACGTACACCTTTAACCCCAGCACTCAGGAGGCAGAGGCAGGTGGATCTCTGCGTTCGAGGCCAGCCTGGTCTACATAATGAGTTTCAGAACAGTCAGGGCAACACAGAGAAACCCTGTGTTTACATGGAAGCTCCCGCTCAGGCCCCACCTCTCTCCAGAGCCCCGGTTCAGAAAGCTAAGACCAGCACCGAGACCTGCCACATGACTTCTCTCCTGCCTCCCCCAAGAGTCACCAGGGAGCTGCTTCGCTCTGTTTATTAAACCCGGTTTTATTAATTCAGCTAGATTTGGCTTATTGCATTGGCAGAGAAAATCCACAACTGGGAATCAAGAAATACTTATCATCCTGTCTCAAAAAAAAAAAAAAAAATTAAGGCTGGGCAGTGGTGGCTCACACCTTTAATCCCAGCACCCAGGAGGCAGAAGCAGAGGGTCTCTCTGAGTTCGAGGCCAGCCTGGTCTACAAAGTGAGTCCCAGGACAGCCAGGGCTACTACACAGAAAACCCTGTCTGGAAAAACCATAAATAAATTTCAAAAATGCAAACATTTTATAAAGATAATAATAATAATTCAGCGAACATTTAAAAAGAAAGACATTGCCTGATGTGGTAGCACATATCTATAACCCCAACACAGGAGAGGCTGACGCAGGAATATTGTGAGTTTCAGGCCAGCTTGGGTTACATAAAGAAACTGCTTCAAAAATAAATACGGGGCTGGAGAGATGGTTCAATAGTTAAGAACACGGGTTGCTCTTCCAGGACTCCAGCTCAATTCCCAGCACCCATATGACAGTTCCTAAGAATCTGTAACTCCAGTTCCAGGGAATCCAATATCTTACTTCGGGCCTCCTTGGGTATACCAGGCATGTCTGAGGGCACAGACATACATGCTGACAAAACACTCATACATATAAAATAATATTAAATAAGTAAGAAAAAACAAACTAAATAGGGCTGGATGGGTACCCAGTTCAGTGGTAGTATTTACCTAGCATGTGCAAAGGCTTCAGGTTGATCTCAGGCTCCATTGATGATAAACAAAAGAAGCAATCAAAATAGGGATAAAAAATTACTTTTAATATCTTATGGATTCTATAACAGACATAGAATACAATTTCTTATTTTAAAAAATATTTTCAGTTCTCTTTTATTGATAATATAAGTGAGATATTTATTTTATAGGTTTAAATTACCTTAAGATTGAATGGACTAATTAGCTACAGTGTGGTCCGGAAATGAAAATATAGAAAAGAGCTTTATAAGCAGATATATCCCCACTCCCGGTACACTCAAAGTCACAAAGCACATGTTTATTTTTAAAGTAAAGATTATAAAGATGAAACTAATTCATTTAATTTTTACTAAGATATTACAAGAAATCTTTACATGAAAAAATACAGAAATAACATTAGCAGCTTAGAATTAATCTCCTAAAAATCACAGCAATTCTACAAACCTCTACCTCTAAAGACGGGCAGTCTATCGCTTCTACGCCATGGTCATGCTTACAACAAAAAAGGAAAAGTGCTCTAAACACAATGATCAGAATTCTGATATTCTAAACAACTTTCTTTAAAATGTCACGATCAAAGCATGTTTTATATTTACACTTAGGAGTATAACACATTAAGCTTACTTTACATGGAAGAACTTGTGTCTTGACATAAAATCTTGGAAACATTATTTCAGCTATATTCATGGTCCACTTAAAGTTTCTAGTACATACCAAGTGATTTAAGACAAACATCTACAGTGCTACTCTCCTTTTGGGAGCAGAGATATCTTCATTCCTGCCTTTGGGAGATACAGTGGCTTTTAAAACTCACAGAAATCAAAGTACCCAGTATTAGCATTGGAACAAAACCTGATTAAGTCTCTCTTTTTTGGAACAACACTAACTTTATTGAGAAATGAGGAGAGAACTGAGGATGTAGCTCAGTGGTGGCCACTTGCCTGGCACGTACAAGGTCCTAGAGTCATCACCAAAGACAGGAAAATAAAAATAAAGAAAAATGTTTCAAAACGATGGAGGGAAAGGGGTCCTTCTATCAACTGGAGCAGAATTATGAGAAGAATCATAACAAGAACACTACTTTGTTGCTGGCTATGTTTCATAGAACTTAAATATTCAATTCTTATTCCACTACAATAAAACTAAGCCTTCTGGTTTTACTAATACTACACAATGTCAGAATGCTGGAGATGTGGTTCAGAGGTAGAGCGCTCATCTAGCAAGACAGGCGAAAGACCCTGAGGTTACTCCCCAGCACAAGGATAGGAAGGACAGTGGGTGTGGGGGATAAAAACAAGCAGTGTTAGAGGGCTGGGGCTGTAGGCCATCGGTCGTGTGTGATTAGCATGCATGAGTTTGACCCCAGCACCTCACTAAAAAAGAAAAGGGGAGCCGGGCGATGGTGCACACCTTTAATCCCAGCACTCTGGGAGGCAGAGGCAGGCAGATCTCTGTGAGTTCGAGGCCAGCCTGGTCTACAAAAGCTAGTTCCAGGACCCCTGGCCCCAATCCCAATTCCCCCAGACAATCATAATTACAGGTTGGGGAATGTGGCTTAGTGGGTACAACATATGTTTAGCATGCAAAAGGCCCTGGGTTCGATTCCAGTCCCTCCCCACATCAATAACCATGATTACAATTAAAAGTCACAATTAAAAGTTTGGGATAGTGTGGTAAGACTAATGACAATCTCTTTTTTTTTCTTTTTTCTAAAAGAAAAAAGACTAATGACAATCTCTTGAACTCCAATATGAACCTACCTCTCCTTCCAAACAGAACTTTTTTTTTTTTTTTTTTTTTTTTGGTTTTTCGAGACAGGGTTTCTCTGTGGTTTTGGAGCCTGTCCTGGAACTAGCTCTTGTAGACCAGGCTGGTCTCGAACTCACAGAGATCCGCCTGTCTCTGCCTCCCGAGTGCTGGGATTAAAGGCGTGCGCCACCACCGCCCGGCTAAACAGAACTTTAAAATAACCAACAGGTCACCACCGTCAGCACGAGATGGTTTTTCAGTGTTCTAAGGTATAATGTCTGGTATTAAAAAGTACGTTAGAGCAGGCATGGTGGCACATGCCTGGGATCTCATACTTGGGAGGCAGAGGCAAGAGGATTGCCGTGAGATTGAGACCAGCCTGGTCTCCACCGTGAGTTCCAAGCCAGCCAAGAATTACATGTCTAGATCCCATAAAAGGAAAACAAAAAATTCTGCTAAATACTTTTGATCTTGATTTAAAAACATACAGAAATCAAGTATTAAAATCCCAGTGGTTCCTGTGACAAGGCAAACATCCCCTTCAAGTAACATTTCCCTCACAATTAAGGTAACATTTATATATATTTTTTCCTCTAAGGATTTATGGAAGAAAACCATAATTTTTTCTTTTAGTTAAGGTGGAAAAATTGTTTCATAATTTCATACGTCGTGAAAGCCACAGCTTGAGAGGGGATGCAGCGGATGTAGTTCAGAGATAAGCCGCGATACAGTCCTTTCCTAATCCCATGGTGTCCGTACACATACTTCATGGTCTCCCGCATGGTACTGAAAGACAGTGGGAAATGATGTAGCAACTGTTCATGAGGCAACAAGACAACCACCTCAGAACCAGAAGAGCTTTGTTTATTGTTGGTTGGTTGGTAGGTTGGTTGGTATCTGCAGACAGAATCTTGTTTTATAGCCTGGGCTGGCTTTGAACTGTAATCTTTTGCATCCCAAATGCTAGGAAAAGAGAACTATGCCACCACGCCCAGCCCATAGCAACATTTTTTTGTTCTTTGTTTTTGTGAGACAGGGTTTTTCTGTACAACGGCTCTGGCTGTCCAGGAACTCACTCTGTAGACCAGGATGACCTTGAGAGATCCACCTGCCTCTGCCTCCCAAGTGCTGGGATTAAAGGCACATATGTGCCAGGTGCTGTGGGATAATGCTCTTGTACACGGTAAAGACCGGTCACTCGTATTGGTTTAATAAAATGCTGGTAGGCCAGTAGCCAGGCAGGAAGTATAGGTGGGGCAACTCTAGGAGAATTCTGGGAAGAGGAAAGGCAGAGAGGCAGTCACCAGACAGAGGCAGAGGCCTTGAACTCACAGAGATCCTCCTGCCTCTGCTTTCCAAGTGCTGGGATTAAAGTCATGCAGAGAAATTTAAATTACACACATAGCTCACTTTCTACTATGTATAATGAAGCTTCGAAAATAGGTTTTAGAGTGGGCACAGGACAGACACTAGGATCCCAGCCCTGGGAATCCGAGAGCATCACAGGCTGAGGTCAGTCTGGGCTCCATGTTCATGCTACAGTTTGAGACCTTGTCTCAGAACAAACCAAGAACAAAATTGCTTTGTTTTGACTTTGTGTTTGGGGGGACTGAACCCAGACCCTTTCATGGAGTAGGCAAGTGCTTTACCAGTGTATCACAGCTCAGCACAGGAGGGGACGGGGACGTGACTGACACTTTATGAAGTTACTATTGTGTACCATGGGGATAAAGGAGGAGGAATGACTGCTAGAGAGACAAGAGTCCTCTCTTCCTCCTGACTTTCAACATCACTCTTCCTAAACAGAGGGTGGTCCATTCCTGTCACTGCAGCCCACAGCAGGCTAAGGCAGGAGGACAGTGCAAGGTCACGGCCAGACCTTGCTGTATAGTGTGATCCAGTCTCAAATACCAAGAAGCCAGGCCAGAGGCTCACACTCACACCGCAGGCACTTAAAACTAAAGAAAGGAGATCACAGGTTCAAGATCAGCCACGTTGCATACAAAGTTGGAAGCCAATCAAGGCCACTTGAGATTCTATCTTTAAAAAGCAGAAATTAGAGCCGGGCGGTGATGGCGCACGCCTTTAATCCCAGCACTCGGGAGGCAGAGGCAGGCGGATCTCTGTGAGTTCGAGACCAGCCTGGTCTACAAGAGCTAGTTCCAGGATAGGCTCCAAAACCACAGAGAAACCCTGTCTCGAAAAACCAAAAAAAAAAAAAAAGCAGAAATTAAGGGGTTGGAGATGGCTCTGTGGCTAAGAGAGCTGACTGCTTTTCCAGAGGACCTGTGTTCAATTCCCAGCACCCACATGGTCTATAACCACACTGTCTATAATCCCAGTTTCAGAAAGCCCAACACCCATGGCAAAATATCAATGAACATAAAATAGAAATAATTTTTTTTTTTTTGGTTTTTTGAGACAGGGTTTCTCTGTGGTTTTGGAGCCTGTCCTGGAACTAGCTCTTGTAGACCAGGCTGGTCTCGAACTCACAGAGATCCGCCTGCCTCTGCCTCCTGAGTGCTGGGATTAAAGGCGTGCGCCACCACCGCCCGGCTAGAAATAATTTTTTTAAACAAAGTAGAAATTAAGCCAGGTGTAGTGGAGCACTCTTTAATGCCAGCACCAGGGAGACAGAAGCAGGCAGGTCTCTGAGTCGGGGGCCAGACTGGTCTCTAGAGCTAGTTTCAGTATGGCCAAGGCTACACAAAGAAACCCTGTGTTGAAACAAACAAACAAAAAAGACAGAAACGTTTAAAAGGAAACATTACATTTCTAAAGATTAGGAACACTTACAGGCACTTTTCAAACTCCGGTAGGACTGTCCCTAACTGCATTCTCCGACGGGTCACATCAAATGGGTAGCTGAAGAAACAGAAGAATTAAAGACTTCAAATTACCTCTCATTTCCTATTTGACGACTGTTGAAACCAAAATCCCACATCCACTGGCCACTCCTCTTGCGGGATATTTGTTTTTTCTGCATGAAAATGTGTATATGGTCTGCTTCACCTGCCTAAGGTAGTTTAATTAAGAGCTGAATGGCCAATAGCTAGGCAGGAGAGGATAGACGGGACTTCTGGGCAGAGAGAGGAACTTGGGGCTAGAACAGGGCACTGCAGGAGACGTCAGCCTCCTGGTGCTCAGGACCTGGCCTTCACCATCACAAAGGCTCTCTGACTTTCTTTCCCTGAAGAGTCCCCTGTTGCTTAGTTTCCAGTGCTTTTATCTTGTTCTACTTAATCTCTCCTGGTCTACAGAAATATCCAAATTAGATATAGTAATGTATTTATTATAATGTTCCCTCTATATACTCGCAGGTTTAACTCCAGTTAAACACTGTACTGTTTCAGTTAAAAGCAGCTTGGGTGCCAGGCAGTGGTGGCACACGCCTGTAATCCCAGCACTCAGGAGGTAGAAGTAGGCTTATTTCTTTGAGTTTGAGGCCAGCCTAGTCTACAGAATGAGTCCAGACAGCCAGGGGTGTTACACAGAGAAATTCTATCTTGAAAAAAAATTTTTTTTCCTTTACAAAGATCATTCACTAGATTAGGAAACACAAATAATAATAATAATAATAATAATGAGGAAAAAGAGGAAGAAGAAAAATAAAAAGAAGAAAGGAAGAAGAATGCTTGCTCCTGCTCAGCAAACCTGAATTCAGTTCCCAGCTCCCATGTCAGATGGCTCACAGCCATCTGTAATGCCAGCTCCAGATCTGACAGCCTCTTCTGGCCTCTGAGGGAACTGTACACTTATACACAAATCCACATATATACATAGTTAAATATAAAACAAAATCTAAAAAAAAAAAAAGTGACCTTGCTGACTGAGCAATTTTGTTTTCCTCCGGTGAACCTTACAATGGTTCATATATTATCTGGAACAAAGTAAGTTTTCGGTGGTGGTGCACGCCTCTAATCCCAGTACTCACTAGGCAGAGGTAGTTCAAGGCCAGCCTGATCTACAGAGCTAGTTCCAAGACGGCCAGAACTACATAAAGAGACCTGTCTCAGAAAAAAAAAAAAGTTTTAATGCAAAGGGCTTTTTACACATACACACACTATAAATAGCTCAAACTCCAGAAACTTCCTGTGGGCAAATTGATGAGAACAAATGAACATCATATTTAAAGGATTCTCCTGAGTTTTTTCTAATGAATCCACAGGAAACTGAGAGGATCCAGGTTCACATAATCAACTATTGGCATGCAATGACCTATAATAAATATACTTATGATGAAAGCATATAGGACTTATGAAAATTAAGTCCTATTTTATTGTGGAGAGAGAATACAATGACTTGGCAACTGAAGCTGAGACCCTTACGATATCGTCTGTGCGATTGCTCCAGCAACACCACCACAGAGTAAGTTGATGTGAGTTTTCAGAACTAAGACATTAGGGTTGTCAGACGAAGGTCGGCCAAGCAGGGTGGGAGCATAGGAAAGCCCAACGCTCTTCAAGGTTCCAAAGGTGAAAAAGGAAACACCTGCAAAGCAAAGTACGGACTCACCACAACGTGAACTGAGAGACAGCTTCCTTACACGATCCAAGTCAGCTGAAGGGACAAAGTATGCATTTCCTAGTCCTATGATAATTGCCTTAAAATATTTAATTAATATCTGTAAATACTAATTGAAAGATATTACCACATATAACAAGAGCACTGGTTTTTCACACACTAATGTACTATGCATTGAAGGGGCAGTAGTGAACATAATTTCATATCATATAGGAATAGAATGAAGCAGTATTCCAAAGTTTAAACCAAGTGAAACTTAAACTCATAATTCATAACTCAGGGAAGTTCTAGACATAGTTTCACCATGTAATCCTGGCTGTCCTGGAACTCACTATGTAGACCAGGCTAGACTTGGTCTCTTATGAGCTAAGATTAAAGGCATGCACCATTACACCTGGTTCATAATTCATAGTTATATATACACATGCACACAATAAATAAATATAATCAAAAATTTTAACTATAAAAACATCGAAGCCAGGCTCAGTGGAAACCACCTGTGAGCCCAGCTCTTGGGAGTCCCAAGCAAGAGGATCAGGATTTCAAGGTCATTCTCAGCTACACAGTAAGTTCAAGACTAGACTAGGGTACAGGAGACCCTGTCTCAAAAATAAATATGCATGCATACAAAACAATAGCATAGCAAAAGCAACAAGAAAGTACAGTATATCTCCAACACATTGAACCTTGAAAACACACAATCAAAGAAATCAGTCACAATATGATTCCCTTTATTGAAAAGCAAACCAATGGAGATAGAAAGCCTAACGGCTGTTTAGACTTGAAAGTCCCAACTATGGGTGAAAGATGATGTCAAATTATGATGATGGCTACAGATCTAAAATCAGCTAAAAACCAATGAATTGGACCCTTCCATGGGCAAACTGTATGGTGTTCTAGTCATAACTCAATAAAGTTATTATTGAAAAACAACTGAATTGTGATTCATTGAAAGACACTTTGGGGCTGGAAAAATGGCTAAGTCATTAAGAGCACTTGCTGCTCTTGCAAAGGACCCATCACCCACTTGGTGCCTTACAGCTGTCTGTAACCCTCTCCTGGCCTCCAAGGGCACATATGCAGTGGACATACACACGCACAGGAAAACACTCATAAACACAAATTTTCAAAAAGGCAGTGCTGTAGCCAGCAGAGCAGCCACAGTTATAACCCTAGTGCTTGGCTTCAAGGTCCTCAGCTACACAACGAGGCCAGCTTGAGCTACAAGACTTACCTAAAAACCAAAAAAGAAACGAGAGAAAGAGGTCCATGTATATTACCTGGACTGGCCCAAACTCCCAGATTCAGTTTTCTGCCTTAACTTCTCAGGCAGATGTGATTGCAGGTATTTACCACTATGGAAATGTAGCAGAGGACAATCTTGGAATTCTGACCCTCCTTCTGCCACCTCCCCAGTGCCACAATTAAAGGAATGTGCCACCACACATTTTTAAAATGTTATACATACAGCCAAGCAGTGGTGGCGCATGCCTTTAATCCCAGCACTAAGGAGGCAGAGGCAGGCGGATCTCTGTGAGTTTGAGGCCAGCTTGGTCTACAAGAGCTAGTTCCAGGACAGGCACCAAAGCTACAGAGAAACGCTGTCTCAAAAAATCAAAAAAAAAAATTATACATACGAGTGTTTGTATGTGCACTACATGCAAGCCTGATGCCTGCAGAGTCAGAAGGGGCTGTCAGATATCTGAACTGGAGGAACATGATCGTGAGCCATCGTGAGGGTCTGGGAACCAAACCCCGGTCTTCTGCAAGAACAGCCATTTGCTGATCACTGAGTCATCTCTCTAGCCTCGAATCCCAAGTCTTAAGTGTTCTTTACTAAGGCTTTAACTAAATATGATTAATAAAAGGCATAAAATTGCATTTCTACTCAGAGTACTTAAATAGTAAATTTTATATACAATGGGCTGAATGACCATATATGAAACATAACTCTATCTTCATCATTAATTAATAACCATTTTCAGATAGTATCTTCTCATGTTGTCACTTAAAAACACTGATGACATAAACACAAACAGGATGCTGCCAAATTTCATTTAGCTCTGTTTTGCTTTGTTTTATTTTTGAGATGGAGTCTCACTATATAGGTCACTCTGGTTTCCAACTCACAGAGATCTGCCTGCCTTTGCCCCTGCCTCTGAGCGCTGGGGTTTAAGATGTGCACCACCTGTCTAGCCCAATATGAATCATACCTGCATATGGAGCCATTCCTAATATGGTAGGCATCAGACCTCTGTAGAATCCAAGGAAACCACCTTCCTTTGAATGAAGAAAATGAGAAAATTATATCGTGTTCACTATGCTAAACATCCATATAAAAGCATATGATACAATAGAAACAACCCCAGGCCTCACCTGAAACACAAGTATGAACGCCTCAGGATTAGGGCTGCTGTGATCACTTACAATGTCCTCCCTCCCTCCTCTACTCTCTTTTTCCTCTGGTACTGGAGATCAATCCAGGACTTGCCCAGGGTAAGGAAGTGCTCTAGCACTAATCTACACCCCTGATCTAGCATCATTAATTCCAAATAAAGGAAAAGGTAGAAAGCCTTCAATAGGGCTGGAGAGATGGCTCAGAGGTTAAGAGCATTGCCTGCTCTTCCAAAGGTCCTGAGTTCAATTCCCAGCAACCACATGGTGGCTCACAACCATCTGTAATGGGGTTTGGTGCCCTCTTCTGGCCTGCAGCATACACACAGACAGAATATTGAATACATAATAAATAAATAAATATTTAAAAAAAAAAAAAAAAAAAAAAAAAAAAAGAAAGCCTTCAATACTTTCCTAAATATAAGAAGACATGCAGTCAGTTCGGAAAGTGGGATGAAATACCTTGGCATAAATTGTCTTGAATGCATGAATGATCCCTGAATAGGTGTGCTCTCCTTTCACCTGGAAGGCTAGACGCACCCTAACGACATCAAGAGGATAAGTACAGATGACCGCTGTCATGCCTGAAAAGAACAGAATCATACATGTAAAAAGTGTCCACACACACACATTTTCCCTATAGTAACATTTTCAGCATTATGGAAATGGTGAAACCTAATCAGAGAAAGGTAGTATTAAGGACTAAAGGAAGCCGGGCGGTGGTGGCGCACGCCTTTAATCCCAGCACTCGGGAGGCAGAGGCAAGCGGATCTCTGTGAGTTCGAGGCCAGCCTGGTCTACAAGAGCTAGTTCCAGGACAGGCTCCAAAACCACAGAGAAACCCTGTCTCAAAAAACAATAAATAAATAAATAAATAAATAAATAAATAAAAATATAAAATAAAAAAAAATAAGGACTAAAGGATTAAATCAGGTAATAGCAGTAGTTAAAAAATAAACAAAGGTGAGCTAGGGGTTTTTGGTTAGTTGGTTTTTAGAGAGAGGATCTCACTCTGTAGCCTTAGCTGGCCTACAACTCAGAGATCTGCCTATCTCTGCCCATGAGTACTAGGTGTGAAGGTGTGTGCTATCCATCCCCCTGGAAAGAGGCAGTTTTCCAAACATCATCTCAAGCACCTCCCATAGTGAAATCCCATTGTCAGCACCAAAGTGATGCAGAAAAACAACATGGGTTTCATTTTACTGGATGTGGGATTAGTAGTAAAAATGATTGTAAGACGGGCAGTGGTGACATGTGCTTTTAATCCCAGCACTCTGGAAGCAAAGGCAGGTGAATCTCTGAGTTTGAGACCAGCCTGGTCTACATAATGAGTTCCAGGACAGCCAGGGTTAAACAGAGAAACCCTGTTTCAAAAACACCAAAAAAGACAAAGAATCCCCCCCACACACACACATACACACAAAGAAAAGATTGTAAAAATTGGTGGGTTGGGGGTCAGCACAGCAGAAGCCCTCACCAGTACAGGGCCTGCTATGTATCTAGGAGACTGCGCTCTCTCCTCTCTCTCTCTCTCTTTGGTTTTTCGAGGCAGGGTTTCTTTGTAGCTTTGGAGCCTGTGCTGAAAGTCACTCTGTAGATTTGGCTTTGAACTCAGAGATCCATGCCTGTCCCTTCTTTCTGAGTGTTAGGACTAAAGGTATATGCCACCACCACCTGGCTGTAGCAGACTTTCTTTTGGGCCACCAACCAGCTCACAAATCATGACACAGAGACTTATTATTGGTTATGGATACTCGGCCTTATCTTATGCTTGTCCCATTAGCTCTTATAACTTAATTTAAACTGTTTCTTTTCATCTATGATTTGTCTTGAGGCTTTTTACCTTTCTTCAACCCCTGCAGCATTGGGAGGCATCCCATAGTGATACCAGAATCTTTGGGGAGAGAAGTTCTAAGGTTTCACAAAGCAGGGTCTATTCTACTTGTTGGTACCCAGTTTACAGGATTAACTTCAGAGCACAACCACTACTTTGGTTTTAGAATTTAGATCACTGTGGAGGGCCATGCCAGAGGAGCAGTGAGTTGCTGCTCCCCAGAAGGTGTCAGCCCACGAGAAGGGAATCCTCTGATGGGCCAATTTCAATAGAAAAGGCACGGAACTGTAGACCCTGCACTGTCTTCTGCTGTACCTTTACATGTTGGCTGTGACTTTTTCTCTGGTATCTAGCATGGTGTAAGAGGACGTGGGGAGATCTCCACTGCCTGTATGTAGTGTATGTAAGAGGACGTGGGGAGATCCCCACCGCCTGTATGTAGTGTATGGAAGAGGACGTGGGGAGATCCCCACCGCCTGTATGTAGTGTATGGAAGAGGGCGTGGGGAGATCTCCACCGCCTGTAATGTAGTGTGCTTATCTCAAGGAAACATCCCGTTCTATTGAACATTTTTACCCGTGGATTGTCAAGAAGATGACCCCTCCCTAAGCTGTGCTGTTCAATTTGATAATAATAATGATAGCTTATACAGAGTTTTGATGAATAAAAATAAATACAAGGATATGTTTCACAGGCTAGGCCTGTGAGTCTCACCTAAGGAGATGCATGGATTGTAGCTCAAGTAATGACTAACAACTGAGTCCCAGTAGCCCAAGTTTAAATTCTTTTAACATTAATGTCGGGAGATGTGTTCACAGGTTTTGGAGTGCATTACAGCTGAAACAAACCTTTGAAAATAACAGAGTTAGACTAAGTTGTTTTTGTTAAATAACTTTGAGGTGAAAAGCCTCAAAAGACAATCTAGAGTTTTAGAAAGGCACATAGTTGAAATGTTGGGAGCAGTGAACCCCCAGATCCTGAATTTCTTGTAAACAACTTGTTTTCCCCTGATCTGAGTGCCTACAGCTGCTCTGAGCACGAGACCTTCAGGAGTTCCTGATGGCAGGGAAGTAGTTTCTGGTGGGTTTGGCTGGGGCATGGCTATCAGTTAAGAATCTCTATATAAGCGGTTCTGGTACACAATAAAGGGGGCATTCTTGGGGCATTCCTGTTTCAAGGATGACCTGTGTCTCTGTCTCTGTGTGTCTTTGTGTGTTTCACTCTCCAGCCCTTGCCCGGTTCACTAACTGTACGGCGGCGCGCGTAGAGCACAGAAGGGCGTGGTGCGCCACAGCTGAACGCGGAACTCTTCAAAGTCAGGGAACAAGAACAAAGCAGACCAATTGTTACTCTCCTTGCTAGGATTAGGCTGATGACCAAAGGTGATGGCTAATTCCTTATACCCATTTCTGTCCTCGATCTCCTGATGAAAAAACTATTAATAAATGGATATGCACCCTAAAGATTTAAGTAGAGTTGAATGATTATTCTTCATATATAAAAGTTTAGGTTTGTGATTTAAGATTCCTTACAAGATTACCTTTCAAGAAAAGTAATAAAGTAATTGGCCCTTTCTTTGTAACTGCAAAATGCAGCCTGCCAGTAAAAGACCTGACAAAAAATACCTTGCTTGCTACATGGGTAATCTATAACCAGTTAGTTGCTTGGGTTTGAATGCATGTGGGTTCTTAGGATGATTTGTTTTTTACCTGAAATACATAAAATGTTTGATCATGTGAGGGAGATGAGAAACATGTGTTTACCCAAAATCATTCACCTGAAAAACAGAATGCAACTGTTTTGACTCTTGTACTGCCTAGAAGATTCTGTGGGGGTATAAAAGCTGTAAACAACATGAGATAGGAGAGAGAATAAAGAAGAAGAGGAATAAAGAAGGAAATCATCAAGACAGTTTGTGAGTGCCTTTCTCCCTAACCCCCCTCAGATGAAAAGTTTAGCTTCACTGACTCCGTGGATTCCTGTCAAGGTTCTGTGCTGCTGGAGGTTGGTCCCCAGACAGTAGATCACTTTGTTATTAACTAAATAGAATAAAAAAATAGGAGGGGCTGGAGAGCTGGCTCAGTGGTTAAGAGCACCAGCTGCTCCTACAGAGGTTCTGAGTTCAATTCCCAGCAACCACGTGGTGGCTCGCAGTCATCAGTAATGAGATCTGGTGCCTTCTTCTGACCCATAGGCATACATACAGGCAGAACACTGTATACATAATAAATAAATCTTTGAAAAAATATGAATAGCCAGCTGTGTATTGTGGCTGACACAAGCAACCCTGCATTCCAGCAGCTGAGACAAAAGAGTTACCACAGATCCCAGGCCAGCATGAGCTACCTAGAAAATTCTAAGCAGCCTAGATTACAAAGTAACGCAATCCCAGCACTCAGGAAGCAGAGCCAGGCGGATCTCGGAGTTTCATGCCAGCCTGGTTTACAGAACAAATTCCAGGACAGTCAGAGTTGTAGAGAAACTCTATCTCAAAAACATACAAACAAAAGGCTGGTCATAGAACATGCTAGGATTTGAGAGGTGGAGGCAGGGGATCAGGAACTAGGTCATCTCCATTTTCAGATACACAGTGAATTTGAGGCCAGCCTAGACTACAAGCCTGGCGTTGTGGCTTTAGTTCCAGCACTCAAGGAAGCAGGGGAACCTTTGAGTTTGTGGCCAGCCTGGTCTACATATGAAATTCTAGGTCCGTCAAAATAAGAGGAAATCAAAGGGGGCAAGAGGGCAGGGAGAGGCTCAGAAGGACAAAGAACCTGCAGCAGCACAAGCTGCCGTCTGAGTTGGCATGAAAGCATGGTAGGAGAACCAACTTCCAAAGTAGTCTGGACCTTCACAATGGAAAAAAGAGAGCATCTTCAACAAATTGTGCTGGCAAAACTGGATGTCAATCTATAGAAAAATGAAAATAGATCCATATCTATCACCATGCACAAAACTCAAGTCCAAATGGATTAAAGACCTCAATATCAGTCTGAACACACTGAACCTGATAGAAGAGAAAGTGGGAAGCACTCTACAACACATGGGCACAGGAGACCACTTCCTACGTATAACCCCAGCAGCACAGACATTAAGGGCCTCATTGAATAAATGGGACCTCCTGAGACTGAGAAGCTTCTGTAAAGCAAAGGACACTGTCACTAAGACAAAAAGGCAACCCACTGACTGGGAGAAGATCTTCACCAACCCCGCAACTGACAAAGGTCTGATCTCCAAAATATATAAAGAACTCAAGAAACTAAACTGTAAAAGGCTAATCAACCCAATTATAAAATGGGGCACTGAGCTGAACAGAGAATTCTCAACAGAAGAAGTTCAAATGGCCAAAAGACACTTAAGGTCATGCTCAACGTCCTTAGCAATCAGGGAAATGCAAATCAAGACAACTTTAAGACACCATCTTACACGGGGCGATGGTGGTACACGCCTTTAATCTCAGCACTTGGGAGGCAGAGGCAGGCAGATCTCTGTGAGTTCGAGACCAGCCTGGTCTACAAGAGCTAGTTCCAGGACAGGCTCCAAAACCACATAGAAACCCTGCCTCGAAAAACCAAAAAACAAGCCGGGCGGTGGTGGCGCACGCCTGTAATCCCAGCACTCGGGAGGCAGAGGCAGGTGGATCTCTGTGAGTTCGAGACCAGCCTGGTCTACAGAGCTAGTTCCAGGACAGGCTCCAAAACCACAGAGAAACCTTGTCTCGAAAAAAACCAAAAAAAAAAAAAAAAAAAA